TATTTATCAATAATTGATTATAAAGTAAAAGAAGTAACATGAGATGCTATTTCATAAAATATTGTGGTCTTCTTTCTCAACACGTAAAATAAGAACTTTTGCAACAAAAGGTATGTTATGGAAAGTTTAAGGCATGGTATGTTTGGAAAAACTCCCATGTGAATTTTGCCTACTTGTTAGGGCCAAAATGGAATCAAATTCTCTTTGTTTTACATCTTCTGTTCCCATTAATGAATTCTGCTGCTAATAAACTGACAAAACAAATTACTTTTTTGAATTCAATGTTTAGTGGCTTCTGAAATTGTTTTGATTGAATATTTCAGAGTTCAAATCCCCCATTTACCTCAGTGGAACTGGACCACAGTGATTCAGCAAGAGAAGGGTGTACTGTTACCTCTCTTACAGTGACTGCAGAACCTCAAAATTGGGAAAATGCAATTAAAGTTGCTGTGCAGGAGGTTCTCTCTCTCTCTCTCTCTCTGTGTGTGTGTGTGTGTGTGTGTACATAAATTCAACCTTGCTGTCACTTGCCTTCTGTTTTCAGGTGCCATTTGTTATCTTGAAACAATTTTGTATGTCTTACTTAGTTCTCTGATCTCTCTGCACACTGGTTGCCGTTTCATGTTGCAGGTTAGAAGGCTTAAAGAATTTGGTGTTACAAATGGTGAACTAGCCCGTTATTTGAATGCCTTGTTGAAAGATAGTGAACAATTGGCAGCTATGATTGACAATGTATCATCAGTGGACAATTTAGATTTTATTATGGAAAATGACGCACTAGGTCATATTGTGATGGATCAAGGACAAGGACACGAGAGTTTGGTCGCTGTTGTTGGAACTGTTACTCTGGAGGAGGTAAAATTAACTTAATACTTCCAGTTCCTCTGAAATGTTGCTTTTTATGTTTCGTCTTGTAGTATAGGTATACAGAGAAATATTTTTATTCTCAGACTTAATATAACTCTTGAGATTCCCACCATTTTCTTGTTTTGCCGTTTTCTTGTTGATCTGCTGTGCTTTTCAGTACCCATCTTTTATTCCCATAAATTGTGGAAACTGCTTAATTCATATGCCGAACCGTTAATAGCTTTTTAGGCACATACTTGTTGACCCTTTCCAATCTATGTTAGGTCAATTCTATTGGTGCTGAGATGTTGGAGTTTCTATCTGATTACGGGAAACCATCTGCACCCCGTCCTGCTGCAATTGTTGCATGTGTTCCAAAGAGAGTACATATAGATGGAATCGGTGAGACTGACTTCAAGATAGAACCACCAGAAATCGTGGGTGCTATTGAAGCTGGCTTGAAAGGACCCATAGAGCCTGAGCCTGAGGTCAATTACCTTAAAATATATTCCTTATGTTTTACTAGTCATTACTTATAAGGGGTGCTAAAGGTGGCATGTAGATATCCATTCCCTTTGGGAATGTATTTGAAATCTTTCTGTTGCTAAGGAGCTTCTGTGATGTTTGGTAGACAGGAAAAGTGCTAGGAATGAAGTGTCTTCATCCGCACAGTTGCCTTTAATAAGCTATCTTATTGACTCAACATATTTTTTCACCTATGCAGCTTGAAATACCAAAAGCATTGATATCCGCGGAGCAACTACGGGAACTAAAGTCGCATTTATGCCCATCCTTCATTCCTGTTGACCAAGGAAATGGATTGATAAAGATTTGTGATGAGGATACAGGAATCATAATGAGGCGTCTTTCAAACGGAATTCCTGTGAATTACAGAGTAAATAATTTTTCCATTCATAGTTGAATATTGAGTGTTTTTGAAAATTTGCTGTTGTTATTCACTTAATCTTCATTCAGAGTCTACCCGATTTCTGTGAGTTTTACGGATATTTCAATCCAATCTTTCCTGAAAATCATTTCATGATCTTTTTATTAGTTTATTTTTCCTCTTATCTTTTTAGGACAGATTTTTCTATATTCAGAGTATACCTGATTCCTGTAAGTTTTACGGATATTTCAATCCAACCTTGCCTGAAAATCATTTTATGATCTTTTTATTAGTTTCTTTTTTCCTCTATCTTCTCTATAAAATTTATATTATGCTTAATGTTTTAAAATTTCATCCCACCTATGCGTGTCAACCGAACCATTTTACTTAAAGTAGAAAATTTGTGATTCCCATACCAAGTCATTTCCAAAAGAAATTTTGATTTCTATGGAACTGTTCCACCGGAACTAATAAAATACTTTCATGTTTGCGTTTTAAAAAATTAGGCTTAAATGTAAATATTAAGCCATTGTTCTTGTGTCGATTGTAATTAAAGAGTAAAGACGCCCGGGTTGTTACTATGTGGCAACTTTAAACTTGCGCAATTGGTTTTGCTATATTTGACTGTGTCACCTTCTTAGGTTTGCATTGTAATTTGTGGATGTTCTTTACGTATTATATTCATAAGTCTCATACATTATTTCTGGGAAAACAAATTGTTGATTTTAAGCTGTTTCTTAGTCATTTGTCAATGGTGTATTGATATTCGGTCTTATTATTGGTGTGAGAACTATGTCGGACCATGCTTCTATTTAATTCTTGTTATTATGGTAATAGATATCTAGAAGTGAAGCCAATAGTGGTGTTATGCGCCTCATAGTTGGTGGTGGGCGAGCAGCAGAAACTGCTGAAGCCATGGGGGCTGTTATTGTGGGTGTTAGAACTCTGAGTGAAGGAGGTCGTGTGGGGAACTTTACACGCGAGCAGGTGAAGAATTGGAATATTTATTTTTGTTATTTCTCCTCTGTTAAAAGGTTTCTTCCCATTATTGTTCACATTCTATCCTTTGTGTTTCTTAAATACGTTCACCGAATATTCAAATACATTGTGGTTGTGAGGATGTGTTAATTTTGTTACCTAACTTTACACCCATGTGCTGAATTACTGAGCACTACATTTTAGCATTATGTTGTGTTAGTTGCTCATCAAAATAGATTGATTAGGTAAGGTGTTATGTTGGTTGGTGTTATTAACATTCCTCTCAGTATCCTTAAATTTTATGTGGTTTATTTTAGTTGTTAAATTGCCCTTTCTATTTCCTTGGCAAACTATTACGAGAAAAGAGATATGATGATAGTGGTGTCCTTTTCTTGCCTTTTGATATTTATTTTTCTCATTTTTGTTTTATCATATAAATGTTTAGCATTTTTAATGCTCTTGAACTTTTCTTGTCGTGCTTCATCTGGAGATGTTATTATTATCTAGTTATGTGTAGCCAAAGATTTCTTCTTCCTTGCTGTTGTGGTCCATGAAATGTAATAATGCACACTATGTCTCTAGGTGGAACTGTTTTGTGTGAATCATTTGATAAATTGCTCTTTGGAGTCAACCGAGGAATTTATTAGCATGGAATTCCGTTTTACCTTAAGAGATGATGGAATGCGTGCGGCTTTCCAGTTACTGCATATGGTACTTGAGGTAATCCAGAATCTTCTATCTTGTGTATCCTTTTATTAAAGTGCTTTGATTATGATACATGTGCTTGAGTAGAACTCATCCCCAAATGCTAGCTCAAAGGGACCCACACATATACACTGACAGCTCCGTAACTAATCGGTTTGGGACAAACATAAGTCCTAACACCTGTTGATAGAGATTGGGATAAATCATGGGAAGGAAAACAAGAATGGAATAAAATAAGTGACGCAATATTGGAAGCACAAATCATGGGATTGGCTAGAATTAATGGGATCCTACTTACATGGATGGCTATCAAATCGTTATCTTATTTATTCTATATTATCTGTTACCTTACATAAATAATATGCTTATAAAAGGGGAGTGAGGAAGTGAAGATTAGGTATTGAGAGAAATTTTATTGTTTGTCGGCTTTGTAGCTTGGGCGGGATTATTTCCCGAGAACTACGTGTTCTTGGAGAACCCTGTGCTCTTTTTCTTTGTTTTTTTATATAATAATGTTTAGTTTCTTGTACATTGGCCCTTTACTCCACCCTCATGCGCAGCGTGCCAAACCAAATGGGCCTGGTCTACACCCAACATTGCCTCTAAACAAACAAAACCCTATTGCTCCGATACCATGATAAAATGGACTTTTGGATATAACTCATCCCCAAAAGGTAGCTCAAAGGAGATGGTTATACACAATAATAGACTAGTAACTAATCGATGTAGGACTAACATAACTCGTAACTGTTTCCAACCTGGTTACTCCTAATTTAGAGAGCTGCTAATTTTTTCGTTGCCTTCCGTCTGGTGTTATTTCCCATTGCTTCTTGGTCAACTTGTTTGTATTGAGGCATGTTATGAATAGAGGGCAGCTAATTCCATTAGTCCTTCATTTTT